CGAAGGTCCAAAAATCTGGGCAGCAACACTAGGCTCCCAAACACAACCAACCTGTAACAAACCTGCCCAACACATCCTATAACTCAATATACAGAGTAAAGAGGATGCAAACGAGATAATAAACAACTACCAACATCCAAAGACACATGTCCGGATCACTGTACAACAAGGGTAAACCCGGGATCGCTATAGATTCCGAAGATTCAAGCGTAGAGTTTCAAAAGGCATTTGATTCTGTACGTAGTCGTTCATTCGACAAGTGAAGTTGTGGATTCAACTTCAGGATTGATCAGTTCCGAGACGAAGGCTTGGTGAAAGAGTTACAGAAGATTCGAAGACAGATTGACTGAGTTGGGTAATTTGTGTATTATCTTTGTAATCTTTCTTTCTTCAGTAGTGGATTGATTAGTGGCGTTTCGCCCGTGGTTTTTTATTACAATTGAAGGTTCTTCAATTGTGGTTTTTTCCACGTTAAAATCGTTTGTGTCGATTTATTATTTTATTCTGAAAAACAAACAATCTAAATCACTTTCGTAAGTGCTTGTTGATTTAGATTGTGTGTTTTGGATTTTTGGGATTTGGAATTTTTTTAATCTTGATCTAATCACGAATCACTGAGGATTTTCAATTGGTATCAGAGCGGGTCACTCTTTTTTTTTAAAAAAAATATAGGAGTGTGATTTTGTGTGACTAGTGATATGGATTCTATTCGTGAAGGTAACTCGACCCATAGACCTCCTTTACTCGATGGTACAAACTATTCTTATTGGAAAGCTCGTATGAGAGCATTTTTAAAATCCATCGATGAGAAAGTTTGGCACAGCGTAATTTATGGGTGGAGTGAACCTACTATCACCATTAATGGTGTTGATATTCCTAAACCTCTTGATAAATGGGACACTACTGATTACCAAAACTCGAGTTGGAACAGTAAGGCTCTCAATTCCCTGTTTTGCTCCGTCACACCTGAAGAATTTCGTCGTATCTGCACGTGTGAGGTAGCAAAAGAGGCTTGGGACATTCTTGAAGCAATTCACGAAGGTACTACTTATGTCAAAAGGTCAAAACTTCAACGTCTCACCTCATCCTTTGAAACCCTTTTTATGCACGATGAGGAGACGTTTGATGATTTCTATGCAAAACTTAGTGATATCGTGAATTCCTATTTCACACTCGGGAAAAAAATCCCGGAAGCTAAAATTGTTGGAAAAATTTTGAAGTCTTTACCCGAGAGGTTCCAACCAAAAGTGACAGCCATTGAGGAGGCTCAGGATGTTGATATCCTCAAGCTTGATCAATTGGTTGGAAACTTGCAGACTTATGAAGCACACCAGATTTCAAAGAAAAAACAAAAAGAAAGTGTGGCTTTCACTAGTGCTCATGAGTCTGCAAAAACTCCGGAGGTTGAATTTGATTTAGAGTCTGAAATGACGGCTATGTTTACTAAACAATTTAAAAAAATTTTGAAGAAAAAGAAGCCTAATTTCAGAGACCCTATTTCTAAAGACAAGAGTAATGAAAAACCCAAAACTTTTCCACCAAAAATTGCTCCAAAAACTGAAAAGAAAACTGTGAAGGGGCAAGGTGTCAAATGTTACGAATGTCAAGGGTTCGGAGATATTGCTCTTGAATGTCCATAAAAAAAGAACTAGAAAAAAGTCTATATAGTGACTTGGGATGATAAAAGCGGGTCAGAGCAAGAACTTAAAGAAATTGAATCCGGTGAAGATGGAGATAGTACTTACATGGCATTCTAGTCTATTGTCACTCAACCTCCTCCAAAGCTAGTGGAATTTGCTTGTGGTCAGAATCTGCACCGTGCTCTTACCTTTGATAGGAGTAATTACTTGTTCTGGAAGATCAGAATGAGGATGTTTCTGAGAGCTTATGACCCTGAGGGCTGGTAAGCCATTGAAGAGGATGTTGAAAGAGCTGACAATCCGAGTAATCAAAGAGTTCTGACTACCATTCGTGAAGTAATTTCTGACGAAGAACAGCAATGGATTGCTCACTATACAAAGGTCAAAGATGCATTAGACATTCTGAGTCAATTTCATAAAAGAGGAGAGTCATCTTCACCACCATCTATCTCCTTTCCTGCCTTTGTTGCTTGACTGGATGAGGTCCAGGAGAAAGAGGAGCAAAAAGAAGATGACGAAACATCACAAGAAAATTATGAGATTGATGATGATGATCTACAACAAGCTTACAAAACGTTTTACGATGAATCTCTGAATTTGTCCAAGATTAATGACAAACTCACACTCAAGCTCAAAGCATGTGAAAGCGAGAATGTCAAGCTAAAAAGAGAAATTGCAACATCAAAGCAGAATGTCATCATCAAAACTATAGGAGTGTGATTTTGTGTAATTGGT